AAATCATCGTGATTGAACATAGTACATATCTTTCCATCGCGTAAATCCAATACAATCCTTCCACTTCAGTCCTTCCCAAGCATCCGCTAGGGCGGGTGGCAAAATATTATAAGGCTATCGAACTTTGACAATTCGAGCGAGAATATCACAAATTTTCTAACAATATGTATATATATATATATATATATATATATATATATATTACATAGCATATAAATCACATGTCACAACACATAGATTTATCTCTGATATTTAATATCATAACAAGTATCTGATAATATAAGAGCTGTTTTAGAACTGAAACCATTAATTAAACCCCAAGGAATAAATGATCGCAAAGATGAAGGTTTAAGTAATTTAACATTTAAAAATAATATCTCTTTAACAATTGACATAGATAAAGGGTATCTTTGTCCAATGTACAGCATATTTAAATAATTTATTTTGCAAATAGTAATTATAACATTAAAATTTAAAACCTTAATAAAAAGTAAGCTTATTTGTAATTTGTTATTAAAAAAACATAAAATTTTTATTAAAGTCGATAAAGATATAATATTCAAACATTTTGTATTTTTATGTGCAAAAATTATAAATATAATATGTCTACTTTTATTCAATAAATTTATATACTTCTCTAAAAATTAAGTCATTATATTGTATTTATTGTAATTAATTATAAAATTAATATTATAATGGTATAGACTATGTGAAATGAACTTACTAATTACCATAAGTTAATTTTAATTGTAAGTTAATAATGTTTACAGATTTAGAATATTTTAATGCAAATACAACTACTTTAATATTGATTACAATAATAAAATGATAACTAAAATGGACTGTACAAAACATATTTATCAATTTACATCAAAATAAACTATTGTTTAATTTTCTATTTATTTTTATGAAGTTTTATTTACTTTTGAATTTCTTCTTGCTATTTAACTAGTTCATTAATTCCTAGAAAATTGAAGTCCATCATAGGCTGCACTCTATTTTTTTTATCATTTGTAAAAGATGCAATTATCAGATTTAGTGCAGGAATGATAAAGAACAAGAAAAATACAAGTACTTTTAGAATATAAAAAAATGTTCGTTGTTATTAGCTGTCCAAAAATAAGAGTCTTGATTTTCTTTTAATAAATTGTAAAATGAAATAATTTCATATTATCGCAAATGTACTTCAACCTTAGCTTCACTTTGGTTTTTATGCTTGAAACAGAGGTAACTTAGATTATCAATCATTTTTTCATTAATTCTTCATATATTACTTACATTAGCCTTACTACTATAATTGAATATTATGTAATTACACTTTTCGAGAATTAACTACATATATGTCTGTTCGAGAATGCGAGACCCCTTAATGCAATAAAACATCTGGCAAGTAACATCGTGAAATTTGTATTTAAGACTTCAAAACTTTCCTGCTCATAATTATTTAGCACTAGTGTCATAAAACATCTGGAAAACTCCAGTGAAACGTGCTCATGCTTCCAGTGCAGTAGAACTTAATGGATTTATTGCTGGGAGAACTCCAAAGTAGATTCAGAACGAATATCAGATATGCGTAAAGTATCGAGTACAAAATATTTCCTAAATTCACTGCAACCCAAAAACCCCGACTTGCAACAACCTGCAATGGACGTACGTGCACACTCGGTCTTTAAGACAATGCTTGCATTGTTCTTGGCTATGCCACATCTGGTCGATCGCATTGGAAAATCAACCACGCCCAAGCATCTAGCATGCATCTAGCCAAGTCCCAGAGAAGGGAGAGGCGACCAAGGAGAGGTAACCAATAGTAAAAGCTCCCCACTTTCCGACACTTTCCCGATTAGCATATTCGGGACTGAGCCCGGAAGGTAGTGGAAATGCAGGCGTGCATAATCTATTGTGCTGTCCAAGATCAACCTTTGATTGGTTAATTAAAAGCAGAAGGGGTTTCAAGTGGAACGGAACCAGTGAACCATTTAAGAAAGGACAATGTAATGTACCACTACTTATTCTATTCTAACACTTTACACACAATTGAAGAATAAGTCACGACTTACTCTCACGGGGGACGATCAGAGAGACAAGTCCTTCAGCTGAGTCTAATAGAAGTTCTTTCTGCGATTGTGAATTAGTATATAGTTGAAATTAATCTCATAAAGATCAGATTGCATAGGACCAGACCACTTGTAATCTCACTTGGATACAAGGAACGAACTTAAGAGCTGCAATTATTGAAAGGGACCTTCACATCAAGCCAACGAAGAGAGACTAGAAAATTCACGATACACTGCAAGTAAGTCCTTACTGTTAGTACTGATTCTTGATCTCTCGGCTTTACTTTGAAAACGGACGGCTAAAGGTCCGACTACTGAAGCTTCCCAGGCATACTCTAAAAAATAGGCCAGCTATAGACGCCACATAGTGGCTTTTCATTTCCTCCAAAGATCAGCGATTCGCGCCACATTGGTAGCGTTCATTCCGCAACGATCATCTATTGACACCACACATTGGCTTTTCATTTCTTCCAACGAACAGCAATTCGCGCCACACTGTAAGAGCACATCGCAACAACGATCAGATGTTGACGCCACAGATGGCGCAGAGCTTCTTATAACCTCTATCTTAGGCTCTTACACGACCCATTATTTAGAGGCAACTGCACACGTGTTGAGTTGAAACACAATAAGATTGTAGCGTTCGATCAGAGTACTACAGCAACTATAACCTCAAAAGTGATAATATTCAATAGATTATAACCTATTTCTTTTTACAATAAATCATAATCTCACCAGTTATATGCAAAGAATAAGAAATTGATCATCTTCTAGTTCTCCAATAAAAGGATATATCTCAACGCCACAAGAGTATTAAGAAATATAAAGGTCATTTGTAATTTCATCATGGTTAACGATTCCAACTTAGAAATAAAGTGAAATAAATGGAATAAACAGCAATAATAAAGATATGTGTTAATTATTGAATTGGTGCATTAACCCTTTACTTGCCCAGCAATCCCACACAACATCTAGTGGTTTTTTGTTCTAAGTTGATTTTGCACGTTTGGCTGACGAGTCAGATTTATGGAGTTATTTTTTGAACAAATATTAATATCAACATTGTAATTAGACAAATATTTTATATAATTAAGTAAATGTTTAAATCTCCTTTCTTTAAATCGATTAAAACAAAGAAAAAACTATAAAAAAAGTAATTATTTTTATAATGATTAGGAGGAAAATAATTTTTCCAACAATTTATGTTTTTATTATGCAATATTTTTTCTAAATATAATCATAACGCTGTAATGTACTCTGATCTTTTATTAGCCATTATTTTCATATTCATGTAACTAGTATTATAAGATGTATGTATAATGATAATACAGATTGCACGTGAAGGGTTAAAAAGTTTCAGTCACATATAAATTCAAAAAGATATTAATACTAGGCTTATTGTAATTATAATACAGTGGCTGGAATATATTTTCTTATAAATAGCAATATTTCTCATATTACATAAAAATTCAACTAATCAATAAAACTAATAAATATATTAAAATAGTCAAAACATAATTAAAAAGAATAATTAACATACAAATCTTAAATAGTAAATAAATTATTTGTTATTATTTATAAACAGAAAAAATTACTAATATTATGTATATATATATGTATATCATTGTACTTTTCATTATTACCATATTTATTTTATATTGGAATATTCTGTAAAATATGCTATTAAAATTGCACAAATTTATGAGTTAAGAATTTCAAACTTTCGTTGTGTATATATAGATAGATGCTTAAACGGATGTATAGAGGAGTTAATTTTATTGTTTTATTTCTCATTCATTGTTATACAATAGGTGTGCAATATAATATATATGCTTATTAATAATTTGTACACTTTTCGATCGATGCTATATGACAATAAATTAACTTCGTATATAATCTGTTACATCGTAGTATTCGCAACTTTTTTAACTAACACCTACAACCTCAGTAATATACTGTGATGTATATGAAAAAAATTATATTCATTTTCAATTTTGATTTAAAATATGGTTTAGCACTTGATTTTATGATATAAAATAAAAAATATAAACAAAAATATCTGCTCTTTTTGAAAATAATAATGATAGCATTCCATAAAAGATAATAAAAAATAGAAGATAAGGAAATTTACATTAACAAGCAAAACATTATTAATTTACGGTAAGTAATTTACATGATTACTGCTCAGCTCCTTATTATCAGTGTAATGAAAATCTAACCTTTAATCAATGATGCATACGCTTAATATACCACTTTTGAATAAGAAATAAATTTGTAATATTTTTAGCATTTTTGACATAGTATTAAACACTATATAATAGGACAAATATTGATAAGAAAATATTAGTTTTATATATCTATTTTGCAAGGTATTTTACAGTGAAATTTCAACAATAAAAACTTATTATTTTTATGAATTATTTATAAATAAACCATTTTATTTATAAAATAAATTAAAAATTTGCTTATAGGTATTTTGCTATTTAATAATTCAATTTCATATTAAACAAATGAAAAGTAATTGTTTTCAAACAATGAAATATTTTTATATAGATAAATTATATATAATTTTGTATTTGCAATATTAGTTTAATATTAATGATATAATATATTAATTTTAATATATACAATTTCATTATAATTTTACTTTGAATATGCATGATAATTTGACTTATAAAGTAAGTAAAACAAACAGTTAAAATTAAAAAAATTATCAAATTTAATTATGAAAATTAATTTGTTAATATGATTGTTTATATAAAATTACTTATTGATCATAAGTTTAAAGTATTATTTATATTAAAATGTTTTTTAATAATATTATTTTTAATAATATTGAAATAATACATTATTCAATGTTTTAAAATTTTAATATATAAAATATCATTTTTCAGAAGTTTACTTTTTATTCTTTTCTTAATAAAATGACTAATTATGTTAAAACAGAACCATTATTAAAAATAGAACAAGAAAATGATTCTGAAACTGCTATTCATACAGAACCAGATGATCTTGATATTGTTCACTCTATTGAAGAGTCATTTATTAGAAATGAGATCCCTTGTGATAGGTAAGCAATAATATTATAAATTATAATATTATTTTTATATTATAGTGAAATATTATAAATAAATTTATAAAAAATTAATTATTTATGTATAAATTTTCCAGATACAACATAGCATATATAATTTTTTATTTACTGGGAATAAGTACTTTAATACCCTGGAATTTCTTTATCACAGCAGATGATGTAAATATAATTATCAAAAAATATATTTTAAACATTATTTTCTTAATTTTTTTTTTTTTAGTATTGGATGTATAAATTTAGAGAAATTAAATCAAACAAATCTCAATGTATAGATTTTAATGGTATAGAGAATTCAAATAAAACAAATTTGCAAACAAGGTTTACATCTTATATTAGTATTTCAAGTGCAATTTCAAATACATTATTTTTGATAATTAACACATTTATTAGTAAAAAGTTAGTGAATAAAATGTGGACATGCCTATCAATTTATTTATTCTTATTTTATAAATAAAATTTTACTTAATTTATAGAATATCACTAAGTACAAGAATGATCGGATCTCAACTTATTATTATAATAATATTTATTGTTACTTCAAGTTTTGTGAGAATTAATACAGATAAATGTAAGTCTGGTATTTTTATGATTTGCTCATTTATTTACTTTTTTCTTATAGAAAATATTTATGTTTTAGATCAAAATATATTTTTTATTATTACACTGATAAGTGTAGTACTTGTAAATGGTTAGTGTCAAATTTGTTAATGTAAACACTTATAAAAAATTGTTTAATAATTTCATTTTTTAGCTGCCAGTGCAGTTTTTAGTGGAAGTTTATTAGGTATAATAGGACAATTTTCTGCAAAATATATAACAGCTATGTCTGCTGGGCAGGCATTAGGAGGAATTTTTACAGCTTTAACAGAAATATTATCATTATGGATTGGTGCTATACCTGAAGTTTCAGGATTATTATACTTCATAATAGGTGATATAATATTGTTGATATCACTAATTGTATATATAATATTAGAAAAAGCAGTGAGTATGATTAAAATATATTATAGGTTCATTTGAAATACTTTTTAGTAATATTATTAACTAAAATAAATATTAAAATTTTAAACAATTAATAATTATTTGTACTTATTAGGCATTCTTCAAATATCATGTATCAATTAAAATTGAACATTTAAGCAGTCTTGAAGTTAATATTGATGATGAAATTAGTTTTTCTTGTGAACAAATTTCATATTCTCAAATTTTGAAAAAAATATGGCAGTATGGATTCAGTCTCTTCTTAATATTTTTTATAACAATGACAGTCTATCCTTCTATTACTGTCTTAATAGAAAGTGAAAGAAAAGGATATGGGCATGTTTGGAACGGTTAATTTATTTACCTTGTAAGTGTAAAGTAATTATTTTTAAACATTAATGATGTTTTAATTCCAGATATTTATTTTGTACCAGTTGTTACATATTTAATATTTAGTTGTGGAGACTACATAGGAAGAATTTTATCCGGAGTTTTTATTTGGGTAACTATAAAATATAGTATTATAGTTTTCCATTAATGTATCTTGATATAAATAAATTATAAATCAATATTTTCAGCCAAGAAATAAACCATGGTTAGTGATATTATTAAGTATTTCAAGAGGAGTTTTTGTACCTGCATTTTTATATTGCAATGCTCAACCACGTCGTTATTTACCTGTATATATTCATGATGATGGGTTTTATATTTTACTAATGATTTTATTTGCATTAAGCAATGGATATCTTTGTAATATTGTATTTATGCTTATACCTTTGTAAGTAATATCAATTACCTATTAAGTAGTTTTTAATAATGTTAAATTGTTTATATTGTATTTGTTTAGAATTGTTAATTCAAAAGAAAAAGAAATAGCATCTGCTATGTTGGGTTCGTTTTTAGGAATTGGACTTTCCATAGGGTCATCTATAAGTTTACTTATGATTAAAAGCTTATAGAAAGATTTCTACAATTAACTGTAATTTTAATTTGTTTAAAAACTGTATATTAAAAATATTTCCAAGTATTTATATTATTATAAATGGATATTAAATTTCATAAGTAATCAGTTAGTAGACTTATAATTGAATCACAATTCTTTAAATATTTTATTTAATTTATAGATATGAATCTTTGTACAATAATAGTTTATACATGTCTTCTAAATATTTACATTTATTTTTGCAACATTATTCATAGAATTTGAGAGGATACATACATAATTTATGTGTGAAGGTAAAGTTTACTGAAAGATAATGCTCCTGAACATGGAAAAGTATATCAAATCGTTATATCAAATGGGAAAGATGTGTGATAACATTGAAAGTTAATAATCTATATCAAATAATCTACAATGTTTTGAAAAACAGGAGAATTATACTGAAAGCCATTATACAACAGAGAGTATAGAAGTGAAAATTTTTATTTAAAATTTTTATTAAATATCTTCTAAATAAAATATAAATAATGGTTATGTATAACTTAATTGTAATTAAAACTATTGGTTTTTCACTAATGTATTTAAATCACTTCATAAGTTACTTTAATACATAAAATTATACAAATTATTGATAGAATAAATCTGTTGTACATTTGCTTATGAATTTATTAATTTTAAATTAATAAATCATTTGTTAGTAAATGTATGAAAAAATTTATGTATTATTTGTTTTTCGTAAATTTTCAATTAAAATTTTGTTGGTATTATATGATCTATAATAATTTTTCAAAATTTTATAAAAATAAATCAATTATAAGTTTTCCTAATAAAATCTTAGATTATCTCCTTTAAATATAATTTTTTTTAACAATAAGGAAATCTTTTAGAAAATGATTATTTAATAATATGCTTTATTAATTTCAAATAAAATATGTGCACTTTTCATATATTTACAAAAATAATAATAAACGCATGTAGATAATAAATATATTACATATTTAAACACTCTAAAAATAAAATTATAAGTGTTAAAATCAGTTTCATTACAAAAAGAGTTGAAATAGGTTATCATTAATGTGATAATGATATACTTGTAAGCTAAAATTTTCAAACATATTTAAATATCATATATCATATATCAAATATCAAACATATATCAAATATGATATTTAAATATCAAATAATCGATGCATAGAAATAAGGCACCAAATATTATGGTGCTATTCCGTATAGTGCGCATACTACTTCAAACTGTTTTTTTTTAATTATTTAAATGTATTGACATTGAGAACAATTATGATTTATAATGGCAAATTTCTTAAAAATATTGAAAAGTAATAAAGCTTAACTTAATAGAATGATCCTGCCTTTCTAATATTTTGAAGATTTTGATGAATATTAAGTATATTTGATTACTCGAATTCTATTTTTATTTAAAAAAAACTTAATATTTATAGCTTTATTGTCTCCTAAATAAATATATCTTATACAATTCACTATAGACTCTAATTTAAATACAGAAAGTTAATTAAAATTTCGTTTTAATTTAGTTAAGAATAATATATTTTTAAAAGGTACATTTTTATATTTCTTACAAATTTAATTTAAGAAGCATTTATAATATATAGTAAAAAAAATTTTTTTAAATAAAAATGTTTCCATTAAAAATAATACCTGCATTTATTAAAAATATATTTTTAATTTTCAAGATAATCTGTATTTCTGATTATATTTTGAATAAAATTTGTGTAGAATTTCATAAATTCAACATCTTTGATGAATAAACTTCACATCAATAATTTTTATTATTTTTTAAACAATTTCTTCAATCTCCTTTTCATCCATGATTGTGCTGCAATAAAAAATATGATTTGATATATTTAAAAAATAATTAATATAAATGAATAAAAATAAAAATAATTAGATAGATTAAGGTAATAAATAAAATTTGTCTAATATGGTATTTCAGTAATAAAAGTTACTTTTAAATTATTTATACTTTCTATTAAAATTTTAATTTAATAATTTAGCATTGTAATTTTTACAATTTTTATTTTATAGTTTGAATAATTTGAGTTTAATTGAATAATAGTTTTAGTTTATCATTTTTCAAATTGATTTTGAATAAAGTAGAGAAAATTAGATTTATAGGTCTATTTATACGCTATTTTCGTTGATATCTGGTTTCATATAACGTGGATCTGTATCATAATTAAACTTTTTAAATGAATTGAAAATAGCATTCCAATTCATCAGACTATAATTGGTGATTTAATAACACTTCAATTTATTAAGCATAACTTAGATATATTGCGTTATCAAATCTGTTAGCATACAATTTTTCATTCTTTCTTGTTTCCAACATCTTATAAAACTTAAATATTGGAATTCTGTTCGCTTCCTCGAGATAGTTTCACTTTATTGTCATGTACAATATTTTTACTATTATTTAGTGTATAGTGTTTTTTTTAATATTCATTTATTGATTTGGATAAATAGCATCTTGTTTAATTATTTTGTTGCCCTTGCAAAATGTATTTGTTACATAAAACATACTTTTTATTATTCTTATATCAAATATATTAATTTGATTTTAATGTTAAGTTGAGTTTATATGTACATAATTTATATATTTTCTGCATGTATTTTATGTGAATTTTATAATAACAAACTGAAACATAAATTGTAAAAAGAAATTATACAATTTTTAGTTATAAAATTTTTTACACATACATATGTATAAATATATATATATATATATATATATATGTATATATAGTGGGAAAATGTAATAAAAATGAACACGTTTGAGTTGATGAAATAAAGATTTGATCAAATAAAATCTATATAACTAGATTTTTAAATTCAAATCAATGTATTTGTAATTAAATATACTTTAAAATATATTTATAAGTAAAAACTTCAGAAAATCAATAACTACATAAATTTTATTATTTTTAAAAATATTTATTTAACTATTCAAGTCAAATATATTTAGCTAGTCTCGTTAACGTGTGTTTAATGTGATGATTTATTTTTTTTAATTTTTTTTTTTTTTTAAATCACATTTGTGTGTAATCATTAATGTGTAATCTTGAAACCATATGAAAAAATATATAGATGGTATATTAATTAATATTAGTCTAATTTATTTAATACATTTTTATTAATTTTCTTATTGAAAAATACGGTGTTTAAAAATATTCATCTCTATTCCATTTATTAATTTATTGCTAACGAAATATTTAACTGAAACCAACCGATCGATTTTTTATTCTCTACATAATAGAAATATTTTTAATAATTATAAATATTAAAAAAAAAAAATAATAACATAATTTGTGAAAATAATTCTGAATTGTATTCGTTGTTAATTTACTTGATTTACTAAATTGTTACTACTTAGAATCATGTAAATAAAAACTGAATGTAGATTTATATAAAAAATACACGCTTAAAAATAAGTATACTATATTTATTTAAGATGATACACTGAGCAAAAATAGACTAAATACTATTAAATACTGTTTATGACATGACGAATTTGAAACAAGTAAAATTATTTTTAATTTTTGAAATTTGAAATTATTTGAAAAGAAAATTATTTTCTACTTCGACCCACAATAAATTAATTTCTCTTATGTTACGAATCAATCATAAAAGAAAAAATTTGACAGACTTTACATGTAATTCTATTTAATTTACTCTCAAATTTTTAATACACTCTTTATAAAGTATTAATTTTGTAATATTAGAAGAATGTAATAAAAGCTATTTTTTGTGAAAAATTTGAATTGCATTGAATATATCAATACATGCACATATAACTCATTAAAAAAAAACATATTTATGCCTAGCCCTACCAATAGTTTGTTTACTTGGTGATGTCGGCAACATTTGTTTCGTCTTCCATTTCAACGATGATTGTATCTGGGTCAGGTACTCTGTTTGCGGATAGACGACCATTTGCAATAGTAGGAAGAATAGTTTGTACAGACTGTAAATATTAAATAATTATTTAAAAGAATTAAATTAATTAATTACATATCTAATTTTTGTACTCGTTTATATTTTTATATAAATGTTTATTGCATTTTTTATTTTTTAATATTTATTTTTCTATAGAAAATAAAGAAAATTTAATAAAGGTATTTTTATTATTTGACTCATATGAAAATAATGAAAACAATTTTAAATAGACAGTAATTAAATAGCTTCTTATTGTAGCATAATCGGATATTTCTTCGTGTACATTTTATTAAATTGTGTTATAAAAATAGAATATAATATTCGAAACAGAATTAATTAAAATAATCATGATAAATATTACATATTTTTATAATTATTTTCTTTTTCAACCATTATTAAAATTTATAATAGTATTATTATTTTAAGAAATTTAGATAAAATAATTTATAAATATTTTGCAACGTATAAAATCAATTGGAAATACAAAATCGAGAATATATTTAGTTTTTGTAAAATTACGTTATTATTAAAATAATTATGATAATATATCTATTATGAAATTATTTACATTTATATAATATTTTATATAACATTTTTAAGCAGATGCAAATTCAGTGTTTTATGTTAGTAACTAGACATAAATTCGAAGATTTGATCTCTATTATAATCTATATAGTATTATCTGACAGTTTGATTGTACAAAAAATTCAAATAACGAAAGTCATATATTTATATATGTGTTATACGTTCTTGAGAGTTAATATTTGCAATGCTTGTTTAAGGGTTTATTAAATTATAAATATGACTAAAGATTAGTTTGCAAAATTATTGCTTAAACTGTAGGCATATATGATTTTAATTGTGTAATGATCGTTCTCTATTATGTGTAATTTACATTTTGATGATTTAGGGTTGAACATATAGTTTTTTCAAAAATTTATTGTAATTATCTGTCACACTTTCACAATTCTTTTTAGTAAATTATTTTAAATGTTTTATAAAACTTATGCTTCTAAAACCTGTAAAAATGATTTGTATTTTTTCTTTTTATGTTTCTTTATAAAATTATATTCATTAAATATAAATTGCATTTTAAGTTCTAATTGTAAATCAAAATATTATTGTAATAAAATTATTTTTAATTACTTTATGTGTTTGTTATATAAGAAATGTGAATATAATAAATTAAAATTAGTTATTTTTTCAGTAAATGTTGCTTTGTTCTTTGATATTTACATTTCTTTTTTTTGTTAAATAATTGTTAGATAATTAGATAATAGTAATAAATTTAAATTAAATTATTTTTTGGTGCTCTTTTTTCTTTTTTTGGAAAAAAAGAACTTTATAGAAATTATATTTTTTTTTATAAAAAATATTTTTTATCTATATTATGATTAATTTTTTCAGTAGAATTAAAAATAAAATTTTTTATATTCTCAAAGATTTAATTCAATTTCATAATGTAATAGTTATAAAGTCTAGCATTTTTCAGTATAAAATAATTATAAACCTAAAATAAAAAAAATGTTAAATTCTTACTTGAAATCCTGCTGCATCTAAAGCCATTAATTCTTTTTTTGATAAATGCTCAACAATAGCTGCAGCATAACAATCACCCAGCATATTATTCGTTGTTCTTATACGATCACTAAATAGGAATAAGTAACTTGAATATTTTTTTACATTTTAATTAAAATTACATTAATTATTAAAAGAATACTTACACAAACCAATCGATTGCAAATAACAATGAAACATCTTGTGCTGGTGCATTAATAGCACTTAAAACAACCAAAAGTAAAACAAGAGCTGCACTTGGTACAGATGCTGATGATACTGATGCTGCAGTTGAGGTAAGTCTGTAAAGAATTAACAATAATTTTGTAAAATTAAATTGATTTATAATTTAAAATTATTAGAATAAATCTTTTAAAAACAAATACATTTTATATTATAAAATTGAAGCTAATTTTACTAAGCGATTTAAATAAAAAATTATAATTTTACTTTATTAAAAAAGAATGCCAAGAAAAGAGCATTAAGTCTTGCACTTATTTTATTATAAATAATGATATCGATATTAAATATTTGTTAAGTTTGAAAAAAAAATCAATTTAGAAGTTTTTAACATAAATATAGTTTTAGTCGTTTCATTATTAACACACTTATTACATTGTAATGTTTGAAAATAAAAAAAATTTTAATTTGAAACGTTATGAAAACAAATTAGAACAAATATGCGAAAATTTAATTTGAATTGAATAATCAAATTTGATGTACTTCAAATATCTAAATCTTATATATCGTAGAGTATATCAATGATAATCATTTTTAATATTTTAATAACATTTCATATTTTTATTTATTATATATATATATATTTATTTTAGGAATATTTCAATTTTTATAGAAATTAAATGAATAATACAAATAAACACAAATAAACAACATTTAATAATATTATATAATAAAAAATAATTTTTGACGAATTCCTAATTTGAACTAATACAGATAAATATAGGTAACTTAGCTAAATTCTTCATACATGTATTTTTATAATATATTGTTTTCAATTAGTTAGCATGTTTTTCATCAAAACGAAAAATATTCATACAACATTTCATCGAAATTTATGTTATATAATATTTATACAATATAAATTATTTAATCAATATACTGTATATACATAAGATGGGTTTATAAATATATATAATTATTAATAAATATAAAATAGTATAAAAACAAAAGTTCGAATGGTCTCAGATTATTTTAAACTTTTATTGGAAGTTATATTCAAAAATCTATGTAATAATGTATTATTAATTTTTTTCAGACAAACATATACAAAATATTTAAAATAACTATTTTTTATTCATTTTATTAATGTTTTCAATATATTCTATATATTTTACAGATTAATAAAATTAAAATGGATTTTTCTTCTTTGAAAAATTGAATGCATTTTATATTTTTATTTATTCAATATGCATACATTACTATTTCGTTTTAATTTATAATTCAATTTAGGATATGAAAATATTAAATAACATGCAATAAAATTATATGATTAAAATTAACGGCTTTACATAACTTTAGAAATAAATGAAATATTATAGTAATTTAAAAATATATATAAATAAATAAACTTAAATTACAACTTCTTTGTAAATTGAGAAATTGTAAAATCACTAGTAAATCTATTTATATAATTTAATTTAAAATAATATATTATATTATAAAATGTATTTAATTATGAAATTTATATTTGTAGGATAGCTATTGTATAATCATAATTATTATTATTTCATTCAAATAGTTATGATTTAATACTTACATGACAGTTATAATCTCTCCGAATTCTAATAAGATATCATTCATTTGAGCAATAAAAATACTGGCAACTGCAACAAATAAGGCAGTACCATCCATATTGATATTACAACCAATAGGTAACACAAATCTTGTAACTCGAGGATCGACTCGAAGATTTTCTGTCATTAAACGGAAGGTTACTGGAAGTGCAGCGGCCCTATAAAGAGTCTTAATAAATCAATATTTTATTGCATTGTTTTCAGATTTAGTTAATTTTTAATAAGGAAATTATGGTCATGAATAAAGAAAGATTTATAGATTAGTTTGCAATTATTTATTTCTATCGAAAATCAATGCATTAATCGGTATGTTTATTACCTGCTGGAATTAATACTTTGATAATAAAAAGATATATATTTGAGAAAAATAATAAAGCATTTATAAATGTAAACCTTTAATATAATAAATACTATACTATATATATACTATATATATATATATATATATATATACACAAAAAGTTTACTTTTATATTTTGCTAAAGTTGACTTAAAAAATTGTATCAGTTTCTTTAGCAATCGGTTTGGCTCTCTTCCTTATTTGTTTTTACATTTATCTCTAAATATATTATTTAATCTTGCCAGCACCATATCGATTTACACTAAAATTTACGTAAAATCATAATTACAAATTATTCATATAATTGCATGCTATCTATTCAAATCTATGAAATTTGATGATAAGTTGAAATTGTGTTGAAATTAGAATCCAACCGCTTTTATTTTAATTATTTCGATGAATTTAATAAAATTCCATAATAAATTATAAAAATACATATTGAAAACTAAAAGGTTTTATGCATCATATGTATCAATATGTAAATATCAAACTTTTTTAATATATTGAATTGATTAGAATTTAATTGGAAGCAATATTGGATATTAAAAGAAAACTAAATAATGACCATTTTTTATATATCTCTCTATAATAAATATTGTTTGAAAAACAAAATGTGAAAACCGTAATTCGATCAAAATTAATTTCTTCCTAATTAATGTACATAACAACCAACTTAATATGCATTTAATATGCATATTATGTTTATATTTATTTATTAAATTATATTTAATATTATATTTGCAATATTTTATATTTATAACGGATGTATTTGACAATTATATTGTTTATGGCTTCATCATCAGTAGCGTAACAAATCAGGCATGTTCGGGATTGATGCAGTCCCATGAATTTCAAACAAAAGAAAGGTCATACGCGCAGTCCGGCGTACCGCATGTGCGCCTAGACTGACCGCGCGTGCAGCAAGGCTGACCATCGCGTGCACCTAGACTGATCCGCACGTGCGGACCGAGGCGGGTACTCGAGCAAAATGTTTACAAACAAAACTCGGCAAGTTCGAGCAAGTTTACGATCTAAAATATAATTTACTGCCAGCCCTCACAAAAAAGGACGCATACGAAACTTCTAGAAGCTTCGTTTTCTCACGCCAAAAGAAATTGTCTGGAAGGGACGCGCATCGACACTGTTGCCGGCGCTGCAGACGCCGCATGCACATTTAAACGCAACGCGCCATGAGGCAACGCTCATTCGTAAAATCACTTCGCTCTCACTCAAGCGTAACTGTCGGTCAGTGCATAGTATACTGTGAAGACGCCGCGTGGCCATATTTTTGACAGCATAGTTAAGAGTACCCGCGTACAGAGAAAAGGTAATCGGCAGTTTTAATTAGTGATTACAGTAAAGCCAATGGAATAGTAATCAAGGGGGACATTAACTACACAGCATCTAATACACCCAGTCTGCAGTTCACCAGGTACACCTTTAGATTAATAAAATAAACAAGTCACATCTCGCGCTATAGTCGATCGGGCACACTTACGCTCTCTCGAACT